TTATCCAAGGGTGTGTTCACTTTGATGCCATTTTTGTAAAATCCCCAAACATGCAAAACAGTGCTATACATTATTCTTAGAAAAATCTTTGTGAACTAGAGATGGGAAGGCTGCCCACCAGCTTCAGGACTGGTGGCTGCCCTTGGAGGGGGGAGGGAAGAAGGATTTGGAGGCAGAGAACGTCTTCAGCTGCATCTTGGGATTGTTGTAGATCCAAAGGAGAGAAAGATCTGAGGTGAATACAGTTGGTGTGACTCTTGTTGGCCCTCACGATGGTCACCGGTTGTCAGCTGCATTATTCTTGATCATTTTTGAATGACAGAAATGTTTTGATTGTTGTTTTTTAAGAGTATGAAAAAGAGGTTCTAGGTGTGGGAGTGACACCGGTTAAAGTTCACCCCAGAAAAGTTGGCTGTAGTGAAGGGCAGAGGAATCCCCAGGTCAGTTAGATGGCTGGGCAGGGATTCGGGCTTTGAAGGCTGTGACCACATGCCGTGAATAAAACCATGAGCTGGCAAGGGACCGGTCTGATTTGCGATGATCACAAGTTTCCCTGGCTCTGGGGAGAATCCGCAGGGGGCTGGGAACGGCCTCAGGCTTGGTTGGGGCCTGCGGTGAGCCCTGCTTCACGAGGCCCTGGGGACCAGCCTTGCTGTGGCTCCTGTGCCACACCGGTCAGGTTGTCAGCTCGGTCAGGCTGTGGGGAGAGGAAGAGGAAGGAGCAGGTCCTTATGAAACCCAAACAGGCAGGATGAAAGAGAAAGTTGGATTTGAACAAGAACCATTACAAAACCTGCGAATGGGAGATATCCATGGACTGAAAGGCACCCATTAAAAAGAGAGGCCAAGGGAGGAAGGGAGACCTAGGAGACCAGAGGAACCTGGGACTGGACACGGCCAAAGAGAGAATCAGTGGATGGGAAGAGAGTTCTCAGGGATCTTCCCTGAAAGATAAAGAGGAAAAAATATGAAAAGGAAGTTGAAAGACACGGAGCACAGAATGAGCTGCTCCCATGTGTGTTTAGTAGATTCTACCAGAAGGGCCTGGAAAAATGACTGAGAAGTTGAGTTCTCAGAAGTACAATGGCTGAGAATTTTCCAAAATCAAAAGAGATATTAAGTCTTTGTTTGAAAGTGCTCCTCAAGTTGAAGATTTTATAAAATAACCCACAGAGCAAAATGGCATAAATCACAAACACAGGGAAAGTCTTTACATTTACCAGGGACAGATCATCCACAAAGGACCAACATCAGGGGAACAGAAGGTTGCAGGTGACCACAGGGCAGTCTTTTGTTAATCTTCCTGGATTAGAAGATAAGACCCAGTCAGCCTAGAATTCCACACCCTGCACTGACTCTGATGCTGGGAGCGATGGTGAGATTACTGAAGAGAAGGGGTCCCTCTCCGACCCCCAGGCTCCTGAGTCTTTGGAGGTTGGGGAGCAGGAGCCTCTCAGATTACAGACGCTCCATTGTGCAACGGTGGCTTCCGTCTCCCGCAGAAGCTGGAGAGAGAGACAGGCCAGATTCAGCTTTAGTGTTGTAACACGAGGCTACAGGAAGTGGCTTCATGGGCCGAGTCACTGGGTATCCATCAAGACAGAGGACAGGGACGGCTCATCTGTCTCTTCCCAGAATCCACAGCACCTTGAAAGTGTGTGTGTGTGTGTGTGTGTGTGGCCATGTGTGTGTGGCCATGTGTGTGTGAACATGTATGTGTACTTGTGAGTGTGCATGTATGTGTGTGTGTGTGTTTATGTGTGTGTATGAACATGTGTATGTACTTGTGAGTGTGCATGAGTGTGTGTGTGTGTCCTCCATCCTCTAGGGGGATGGGATGGGCAGAGGGTAGGTAGGTGGCAGGAATCCTGGACTCTAGCTTGGTTTCAGTCCTGTGGCTTTGGGGACATTGTGGGGGGATGGCAGAGGGAGGTGACCCTGGACCCTTCTAGACTGTCCCTCTGTCTTGCAGATTGTGGACAAGAACAGCCGCTACAAGTCCATAGATGGGTCGGATGAGACCAAGGCCAACTGGATGAGGTGAGTCCTCTCTGCTGTGTTCTGGGAGGCCGACTGGCCTCCCAAGAGGAGGTCGGGGTGGCGTGTTGGGACCATGGGGTCTCCAGAGGCCGAGGCCTCCAGGACTGCTGTGTGCAGAGCATGGGAGACGTCCAGCCTCCGTGACCTTCCTGGTCCCCGGCTTCCATGAGGGGGCCCTGAGAAGGACCGTGGCCAGGCCAGCAGGCTGCAGGGACTCCAAGGGCCCCAGGTTCCTGGGAGCATTCCTGGGGAGGGACCGTGACGCTGCTCCCAGGGCAGGCTGCTGCTGCAGTTGTGCGGGACTCAAGCCACCGGGCCAGCGGTTGTTCCAATGGTGCTCCTGGCCGAGGAGGCCCCTGGCAGGGGCTGGGCCTGATGTCCACCATGCTTGCTGCTGGGCTTGAGTGGTTTCACCCTGGGCCAGTGCGTGACTCAGAAAGGTCCTAAAGGCTAGCCAGAGAGAGCAGGAGACTGCCCAGGCCGTCCCAGCCACGTCTGGGACCCTGGGCTCAGCGCTGGCCTTGGTGGCCTTGCCGTGGGTGGTGGGCAGGGGAGCAGGCTGGCCTCTCACTTCCGTGGGGGCTTCTCTCTGGGACCCCAGGACAGTGAACAGGGATGTGGGTCTGGGTGGGGCAAACAAGGGGCCCTCTGTGGCTGGACCCTGGGACCCACTACACCTGGATGTGGCGCCCTCTCTTTGTGTCTGTGTGACCTGGTGACCCATGGGTGCTGCAGGCTTGTGGGTGGAGGAGGACGGTGCAGTTAGGGACCAATGTGTGTGGGGGGGTGCTGTAGTTAAACTGTGACAGTCACAAGCAGATGAGAGGTTAGTTGGGGCTGGGGAGTCACGCTGGGGGCCTGGTGTCCCCCCAGACGGCCTGACTGACCCTGTTCTCCTGTCAGACTCCCAGTCAGCAGAGCCACCGTTCTCCCCCGGAACACCCAGGGCTCACCCTGTCCTGGGGGGAAGCTGCTCCTACTGCCACTTACCAGGTGCAGGAGCAGGGTCACCGTAGACAAACAGACGTCCAGGCTGTGTGTGGGGACAAGCTCTCTCCTCCCTCTCCTCCCCAGACCTGGTCAGCCATTGCCCTGAAAGTGGTCTGCAGTCCTAACTGCCGCCTTCCCCCACCCTGGGTCCAGGTCAGGACACACACGGGCTTCACCCGCCGCATGCAGAACCTGCTTCCCCTCGGACCCTGCACTGGGCACCTGGGGTGGCCCAGCCTGGCCTGTCCCCGTGGCCCTCCCAGGGCCCACACCTGGTGCCACGCCTGGTTATCGCGTGGACTCTCACTGTCCTGCTAGGGCCCAGGTGAGAGAGAAGGGGGCCTCTGACAGGGGCCTCCAAAGTGGCAAGGACTTTGGGGACACTGTGAGCAAGGGGGCATGAGCCATTGAAACAGGCTGTCCATGGACAGCAGGGCCTGCCTCTGAGGGCTCTTCACCGGTCAGTGCAGTGGCCCCAGGCAATAGGGAAGCGAGGGTGTGGGCTCTGGCCCAGGTGTCCTCCTGCCTCCGCTGTCCGGCTTCCAGGAGCTCCGACCTCCGGAGCCGAGCCCTGCTGCTCCCCTGCACCCCCTGCTGGGCCTGGGATTCCTCAGCCACCTCAGCCGCCGCCTGGCGCTCGGAGCTTGTCGGCCACGCTGGCCGGGCCTCGGTGAGGCTCTCCGCAGGGACTCTGAGGGCGCGGGTTGGGAGCATGGCTCCGCATCGGTCTTCACGCCACAACGGCCAAACCGGGGCCCAGAACCGGTCACTAGCAGAGGGACTGGAGCTGTGGCTCTGGACACAAGGAGCCAGGCTGAGCCAGTTCCCTGGGCCGTGTGGGCCCTGGCCGGGTAGGCTCTGCCATGGGTTGTGCCCTGTCCTGACCAAGATGGTGCCTGGTGGTCCCCCTGGAGGGCCCTCAGCTCAAGGGCAAGTTGGGGTTGGTTGTGCGTCAGCTTCGTTGGGCAGCTCCTTCGTCTGCGGCTGCTCTGGACTGCACTCTGGTGGCCCGGGGCGCGGGGCTGAGGGAACGCAGGGCGTCTACAAAGTAGGTGGTGGGACAGGAAGGGAACCGGTGTCCAGGTTGGGAGCACTGACCCTATGGCCCCCTGTGCCGGGGGCTGTGTGCAGGGTCCTCAGCAAGGGCTGCGTGCCCCTCTGGGAGCGCTGGACGGTGCCTGAGTCATTCTGGCAGTCGCAGCGTCCTGGGTGGGTGCCACTGGTTGCATCGGGTAGAAGCCGAAGGTGGCAAAGGTGGCGGTAACACTCTACGTTTGCAGCCCCTCCCCCAACAAAGAATATCCGTAGCCCCAAATGCCAGTAGTGGTGTGACCAAGAAGCCACGTCACAGCTTCCCGACAGCCCTGGGAAGTGGCCCTGGGATGGTCCTCCTAGTTGTACAGAGGCCCTGTGGCTGCCAAGGAGACTCAGCCTCTAGTCTGAGGTCTGCGCAGTGCAAGCCTGTGCCGTGCCATTGTCCTGGCCTGGGGACCACAGCCGGCCTCCCCGCAGCTTGCAGGGCCTGGTGTGCTGCAGGGTGGGGGTGAGGCTGCTGCCCTCGGCCTCTCAGCTGATGCTGCAGGCGGAGGACTGACTCGGGCCCCAGGTTTCCCTCTGTGCCCTGGGTCCCCTCTCGGGTAGACCTTTCCAACCTTGCAGCAGCAGGTAAAGGGGGGCAGAGCCACACGTGGAGAAGCTGCATTTCAAGAGCAGAGCAGGTGCTAGAGCTCCGCGGAGCCCCTCCTGGTGCCCCTGGCTGCCCTGTGGAGACGGAAGCTGAGGTCCCCCCTGGTGTCCATCAGAGTGCAATTCATCTCCCAGTGAATGCTCATGAGCTCCTCAAATCCAACCAGAAAGCCACAGCAGCCACCCCAAGAGCTGGTGGTGCGGCCGCGGGAGGTGGCTCTGTTCCTGCACACACAGAAGTGGGGACGGGGGGGGGGGGGGGGGGGGGGGGGGGGGGGGGCAGATGGCGGAGGGGTGGTGAGCCACACGGGATGGAATCAGCTTTCTGTGATGACACCCTTTGATGGGCAGCACCAGCTGAGGCCTGGCCACGGCAGCCCATGTGGACAGTGGCCCTCCAAGCCACTCACGTCCCTGCATGGCCCCGTTTAAACTTGACTTTGCAGGGTCAGTGGTGCAGCCCCGACCCCACTGAGGACTCTTTATTCCTTTTATAGGGTTTTTAGGGTGTTTTTACATCACTATACCCTCCCCCCTTAGAGCCAGCCTGAGGAGCTGGTGTGTTGGTACTGCCCTTCTGGATGGGGACAGGGAGGCGGGAAAGGGTACATGAACTTGCACCGCCCCGGCACTCGCTGCTAGCCGAAGGCAAGGCCGGGCCTGCTCCGCGGACCTGCCCAGGGCTCCCACCGCCTGACCTGCGCCTCTGCCTCCTACCGCCCCCCTCCGAGGAGGAGTAGAAGGGACTTCTCAGTAGGAGGAGGGCGTGGGGCCGGGTTGTCCCAGGTGCCTCCTGGCTCCCCAGCTGGGGCCGGCATTAGGAAGGAGGAGGCCCACCCGCCTTGACGGTCATTTACCCAATTGTGCTTTGTGGGATATTCAACCCAAGGACCGTGGCGCCCCTGGCCGAGCGTAAGAGGAAGCCCAAGTTCTCCAAGGAGGAGCTGGACATTCTGGTCACGGAGGTGACCCACCACGAAGCAGTTCTCTTTGGGAGGGAGACCATGCGGCTGTCGCATGCCGACAGGGACAAGATTTGGGAAGGCATAGCTCGGAAAATCACCTCCGTCAGCCAGGTCCCCCGCTCCATCAAGGACATTAAGCACAGATGGGATGACATGAAACGGAGGACCAAGGACAAGCTGGCCTTCATGCAGCAGTCCCTGTCGGGCCCTGGGGCTGGGGGCCGAGCCCCTGCCTTCATGCTCACTGCCCACGAGAGGGCCATCGAGTCGGCGCTGCGCACTGCCCGCTCCGGGCACGGCTTCCCCAGGGCGGAATTGGACGGCACCGACAGCCCCTCGACCAGCTGTGAGTATCGTGTCCCCTCTGCCTTCCTGCGCCGGCCAGCGGGGGGCTGCTCGTGAACTCCCCGTCCCTCTGTCTGCCCACTCTTCCCATGTCCACTTCCGCCTGCCTCCTCTCCCTCTGGGCATCCGCCTCTGTGCCTGGACTGTGCTGGCAGCCGGGAGGACGAGCCCTGCCCTCGGGCAGCTCCTGGACATGGGGGACTCAGCAGCTTGAGTTAAACCATTGCAGGAGTGACCGGAAGGAAGGGACGAAGGCTGTCGTGTCCAGGAGACCCTGAGCACAGGGGAACCTCAAGGCCTGCAGGCACAGGGGCTGCCCCGCTCCAGGTTCCCTGAGGTTGGGCTCTTACCCTCCCCCCAGCCCTGCCTTTGATTGTGTGTCTGTGCCTGCAAATGATGAATTGGCCCGTCTGAGGGTAAGGAGCGGTGGCACCTGGCTCCATGGGGCTGGAAGGCCCCCTAAGGAAGTGACAGTGGGACTGAGCAGCGAGGGGCACGTAAGAGTTAAGAAGCCCCGGCCGGGGGGGGGGGGGGGGGGGGGGGGCGGAGAGCTCGGCGGCCTGGCGAGAACAGCATGTACAAGGCGCATCAGGAAGGCTCTTGGCACGTCCGTCCCGGAACACGGAGGAGCCAGGGGGCCCCAGCGTCGCAAGCGAGGGGTGGGTGGGGGCTTGGGCGGCCGCAGGCAGGCCCAGGCCTGGAGGGGCAGCTCCTTTCTGTCGCTTGGGCCAGTTGCACTGTTTCCGTCCCCTCCTGTCTCCTGTGCCCACGGCCTTCGTCCACTTCTCTCTGGCTCTGCGTCCTGCTGCCCACCGTCCCCTCCCGCCCTCGCTCCTGCACCCACCCCAGGCACACTCCTCTGCGCCCGCCCGCCCCCTTCTCCCTCTGCCCCCTGCCTTTCCCCTCTGCTTCCTGCGTCTGGTGGACCCCAAGGCCAGGACCCTGGGGCTCTTTCTAGTTGGGGCTCCTCTGTGCACACCCTTCCCCCTGCCTCTGCACCGTCCGCCCCGCCCCCCCCCCCCCCCCCCCCCCCCCCCCCGCGCCCCGCCCCCCCCCCCCCCCCCAGTCCTTCAGAGGCCGGGAACAGGCCGCCCCAGACAGCCAGTGGGAAGGTGGGTCCCCGAGAGTCCCGCCCCCCTTCCCAGGCCCCTGGTCACGGGGATCTGCTCATTTCCTGTTTGGCTGGGGCTCCTGACAGGTGGCCGTTCACAGAGTCAGATTCTCAGGACTGGAGAGGCATGTGGAGAGGGTCTAATCTCCCTGTCACCTGGACAAGGAAATGCAGGTGGCCCAAGGTGTCATCACCCAGGACTGGAACCTGGGTCTGCCAGAGCCCTGAACCAGGCTTCCCCAGTCCTGCGTGATCCCACCCAATTATGAGAAAATGGGGGCCCAACATTCAGTAAAACCCAGTCCCGAATCCTGCCCTGCTCACCCCTCCGGAGACCTAAAGTAACCTGGAGCCCCCCACCCCTGCCATGACCAGCAGGTAACTCCTTGGCCAGGGGCTCGGTAGCCTGAGGCCCCCCACTGTGGGTCTCACGCCCTCTCGCCCCGTGTAGGGTTCCAGGGGGTGACTGCTGTCCCACCTGATGGGACTACGAGGCACTGGGCTCTTACTGTGGTGGCTCCAGTGAGACCCTGGGACCCCTGGGAGCAGGACCAACCTTAGGACCAGCCGGACCACCGGTCCTTCCTGCTGTCTCCCAGGACTGGTTCTGGATGGAGACCCCTGGGCACAGGCAGGGAGGGTTTGGAGGACAGTAGGGTCGGCCTGTCATGTTTTCATTCTGTCATGGGAGTCAGCCCTTGTCACCTGAAAGCGGAGACCTGCATGTACAGGGGCTGGTCCCCTCCCTGTGTCTGGCGGTGGGGAGCCGTCTGTCTGAGGGTCCCTGCATGATCAAGCATCTTGGGTGGGGCCGCCGTAGGCCTGACCTGGCTGCCACCCTGGGGGAAGGGGTGTCAGGGCAGCGGCTTGCTCTGTCCACCCCTACCTCCCCTTCCCTTCCTCTGGCCTTGGGCGCCCTGCCGTGATCCATGGCTGCAGATTTCAGCAAGGCCACCAGGTGGCCCCAAGCAACTCAGCAATGGCCTCAAGGAGGCTGGCACTCCCTTCGGAGCACAATGGTGCCCTTGGCAGGTCACGCTCAGCTCTACGCAGCGCCTGCATCTTCAAGGAGCCAGCGGGTGGCCCAGGGGCTAGTAGGTGGGCAGAGAGGTCATCAGCGATACTTTGCAGCCAGCGAATCTCAGAGAGGTGAAGTGACAGGGCCGAGGTCCCCAGCCACTGGGCTGACTGCTGTCACCGGGACTGGACTCTTTCCCTGGAATGCGGCTATTGTCACGGGCAGCAATGGCATCCTTCCCTGGGTGCCTGGCCCTTGGCTCAGCGGCTTGGGAACCAGGCCCTTCCCGTGGGTGGGTGTTTAGGCTGGGGAGTGCCAGGGTGGGGTGCCTGGGGGTTTTCACGCCCAGCGCCGCCCCTTTCTCCCTGTGGTAACCATTTGTCCTTCTCTGCTTCTGTCCCCAAGACGATGAAGATGAAGAGGTGCCTGGGCCCTCGCACCAGCCTCTTCGGCTGCCTCTGCAGCGGTCTCCGGAGGAAGAGGCCCCCCTGGCCAGGCCCACCCTGCTGCGCTCCTCCTCCTCCTCAGACCAGTCCGAGACTCTGGGCCCCAAGCCGGAGGCCCTGCCCCGCACCCCGCCCCAGGCACAGGCCGCCTGCAGGACCCCGCGGCCACACCCAGGCTCGCCCACCCCGGGCCTCGACTGGCAGCTCCTCCACGTCCACGCCCAGCAGACCGAGGTGTTCCGGCAGCTCTGCCAGGAGCTGGTGGCCGCGCACCAGGACATGGCTAACAGCATGCACGTCATCGGCCGGGCCATGGCCGAGCTGAGCAGCCGCGTCGGTCAGATGTGCCAGACGCTGGCAGAGATCCGGGACGGGGTCCAGGCATCACGGCAGGGGCCAGAAGGGGCGGCCCCCACGGGCTCTGCACTCCCGGCCCAGGCGCCCCCGCTGGACCCCCCACAAGCTCCCCCAGCACCAGCCCCCACTCGGACTACCAGGTCTCGGAAGAGAAAGCACAGCCTCTAGCCCGGCCAGCCTGTGCCAGGAGGAGCTGGAGGGAGGCGTCTGGCCTCGAGACCGATGACCCCTGTAGGACTCCGGGGCGCTGTCCCCCGTCGCCGAGTGCAGGCCGCTCCCCATGCTCTGGGAGCCTGTGTCCGGCCCTCCCTCCTCTTTGCCAGAGGCTCAACGTCCAAGAAAAGCCCCCGCTTTCTGCTTGCTTGGCCCGGAGGCGCCTCCTCCTCCTGGTCGGTATCTGGTGGCAGCGGCCAGCCTGGCGGGGAGCGGGCATGAGTGTAGGGGGGCATCCCAAGGGAACCCCTGCTTCGAGCCTCAGGGCCCTGCCTCAACCTCATGACCTCCGGTCCCTGATTCTGCTGCTTTCCCAGTGGGCGTGGCTGGAGGACAGGCGGGCAAGTCTGTCCTGACCTCACAAGGGCTCTGAGCCCCGGGGGCGCCCTGCCTTGGCCCTGGCTTGCTCTCGTGCAGTGCGCGTGCTCAGCTGCTGTGCTTGCCTTCTGTGGAGTCGGGTGGAGACCGGGTGATGTCAGGGAGATTATCTTACGTTCTTGGAGCACTTTATGCTCTTCCTGCACCTGCAGATATATGTGATCTCAGGGCGTGCTCAGGACAGCCTGAGAGGCAGCTAAGTCGGACGTCATTCTCTTTATCATGTGCATTCGTAGATGACAAGTGACACAGCTTGTTGGTGGGAGGCCGGGACTGTGCATTTGTCCAGCTCCCCTGTCCAGAGGCCACATCTGGAGTCGGGGGAGCAGGGGGCTTGCTCCTTGCCTGGCCTCTGCGCCTGCCTTGTCTCCTCTGGTGGGTCGGGAGAGCGGTGGCAGTGCTAGGCACGTCTACCACACACCCTGGCCCTAATGCTCTCGGCCAGGGGCCAGGGAGAGGCAGGCCCAGGTCTCGGGAGCCAGAAGGCAGCCCGGCCTCCAGTTCCAGCAGGACCGAGCCCGTCCCACGTGCCAGCATGCCTCGCCTCTGCTTGCTCGGGCTGCATTCGCACCAGCCACACAGCTCTGGCTTCGTGCTTCCCATTGGGGTGGGGACACCTGGGCTCTCATGTTAGGGAGGGAAGGGGCAGGTGGCTGGGGACAGGTGCTCCCCAGCTCTGTCTCTTTCCCGCTGCTCCCTGGCCTGGGAAGGAAATCTTCTTTCCCAGCGGCTCTTTCTGCCCACCCGCCACCTCTCGTCCTGTCCCCGAGAGCCACCGCAGGGGCTGGGAGGCTTGCTGTACCAGCGCCTGCCCAGGCCCTTCCTGGAGCACTGCTTGTGAGCCCAGACCCAGCTCGTCCCACACAGGGAGAGTGCAGGACGCCTGCCACGTCCCTGTGCCCTCGGCCCCACCCCACCCTGTGGTCCTTTGGGGGCTCCTGTCCCCACATGGGACGCTCTCTGCCCGACAGCCAGGGGCTGGGTCATTGCCTGGAATTGCCTTGCTCTCCCATGCTGGACCCCAAGATTGCCTCCCGAGCATTTTTGTTAAGATGGCAATAAAAAGAAATCAATGTCACACTCTGAACACACCCGGGTCCAGGATCTTTCTTTGTGTATTCTCTTTCTTCGCTTCCTGTGGAAACTTCCAGGCCCCAGAGCAGGGCTTAGGTGACAGGGGAGAGCCTGCTGGTGAGAGGGCTCCAGAGGCCCTGGCTCGCCCTGGTTCCACACACTCAGGTGACGGTGCCCAGCCCCATGTGAAGCCTTCAGGGACAGGGACAGAAGGCCAGGTCAGGGAGGCAGAGCACCCACCTATGACACCTTTGGTTATGTCTCATCGGGATGCACCTTGAAGTGCGATGGTGCTAAGCGATTTGGTCCTGTGTCCCCTAAAAGTTAGGGTTCCCAGGGAGGATCCCCTCCTTTCTGCCAGGAGAGTCCAGAGCATCAGGGTACTTTAAGGACCCTGAGACCTGAACCTCGGGGGGACATGTCCCTGCTGGTCCTGTTGTGAGTCTGTTGCAGGTGAGGCCCTGCACGTCCAGATCCAGGGCTTCTCAAAGTGGCTGAAGTGGCTTCCTCTGGCTCCCCTGGGAGTGTCCTCGGCAGAGTGGGCCTGGGCCTTGCCCTGGCCTGCTGCCCACCCTACAGCTTCTCCCAGGCAGGAGTCCCCAGGTCTTGGCCCGGAATCCCCTTTCTGGATGACCCTAACTACCTTTGGCTTTGGAATCCGACCATCCTCGGCAGGGTGCCGTGGAAATCAAGGCTCCCCACTTCCAGGAGGGGCAGAGACGCTGTGGAAGTGGGCCTGGGGTCTCCCTTCACCCCCACGGTCAGTGTGACTGGCTGGCTCCTCTCTGGCCCTGGGTCAGGAAGAGGACAAGTTGGAAGCGGTGAACCCGAAATGGAGGTCAGAGCAAAGGGCCAGGGAGGGGGAACTCATGATAATTTGGGATGGAAAAGATGGCCACACCCGTTTCTTGACGTCAGTGGGGCCTGGGAGGCCAGCACGTGAGAACAGGAAGAGGAAGCGGACGGTGTGTGCTGGACGTGAGCTGGGGCCTTCTCCAGCTTCCAATGGGAAACCATGAAGGTGGCCTCCAGAGGCGGGCTGGGAGGTGTCCTGTCCAAGGCCAGGTGACCACCTGGAGGGCGGGTGCAGGACCTAAGGTCCCTCCCAGCCCAGAGGCCTAATGTAAGGAGACAGAGTCCGGCCCACTCCCAGGCCTTGCCAGATCTGCCTGCCCCGTGGAGGGAGCAGCAGGGCTGAGCCTGGCCTTCGCAGGTCCCCTCTAAAGAAGGGGGTGCCTGGTGGGTCATTTTTCTCAAGTGGGAACTGAGAAGTTCCCAAGTGGGTCATTTCCTGACCCAGCTAGAAAACATGCGCCCTTGATAAGACATGGTGGGCAAGGGCTGGGGATTGCCTCTGTGCTCATCTGTCCAGGACCCAACGCCAGCAGGAATGTAACCACCCATTAACCCCATGAAGGATTCCACCCAGAACCCCCGCCTGCCCCTTCAGAGGTGCCCGAGTCTTCCGGTACGATCTGGACTGCTGGCCAGTAAGCTCTGCCCTGCCCAACAGCCCTGACTGGGCAGCTCTTGCCTGCTTCTCAGGCCTCCTCTCCAGCAAGGGGGTGACCTGGCAGCTCAGATCGCAGACCCTTCACTCCCTGGAAGCCGTGTGCTCTGCAGGGAGGGCTCTTGCTTACCTGCACCCTGGTGATGGGACAGCAGGACTCTGAGACTGGACCAGGCCACTAGGTATTAGCCCAGAATACTTAAAAAGGCAGACATAACGAGAGGATTCGCTTTACCTCGAAAATTATATCAACACGATCTTGGCAGGGGACTTTGTTGTGGTGACTCACCGAGAGCTGCCATCTATGTCTTATTTCAAATGCCACGTTTAACACCAAACCCCAGATGCGGAACACACTGGGGTCTGTCTTTGAAAATACCTTGCGATCTACTCAGAGACCTGGGGTGCTCTGTCAAAGTATTGGTTCTTGGGTAGAAAAGCACCAGGGAATGGAAGGGGAGATTGACGCGCATCTTCCTAAACCTTATGACAAATTCCAGAAGTTGCTCTTTTGAATAAATGGACCCTGATCCCTGTTACCTGTTCCTCGGTTGTCTTTTCCTTGGAAAGTTGAATGATGGGGAAATGAGTCCATCCTTTCGAGCTTGAAGAATCCAGCAGGAGGGGACAAGGGGCAGTGGTTTCCTTCCCCTGTGCTCTGTGATCCCAGGGACTTTTGAGAACAAGAATGAATGGAGGGGTCGCCTTCCATATGCAGCCGGGAGGGAGACGTTTGGAGCTACTGCAGTTGCGTTCTGTGCAAACTTCTAGGTTGATTATTTTTGGATGTCAAATTGCAGAGTCTAACTAAATTGGGGACTGGAAATTATTTTATATATTCAGGAAAAAATGTGGGCACGTATGGAAAGAAGGACAGCTCTGCCGTAGGAGAATTCGGATGGGGAGCTGTGACCAGGGATGATATCTCGGGGCCCCAGATCCTCTTGGCTCTAAGTTCTTGGCTCACACCATCAAGGTTGGGTGCGTGGAGATAACCACGTGGTTTTCACAGCTCTGAGGCCCAGTTCCTGGACAAGATGAAGTTCTTGCTCCAGGGTGGAGCTTGTGACTTGCTTCTAAAGGGGAAAGATGCCAAAGCCGGGGTTCTCTTCCTTCTCTTCCCTCTGTCTCGTTCTTAGTTCCTCTGAGTTCTGTGCTACGTTCCGTTGCCAGAGTGGACGGTTCCCTGGGTCCCAGTGGACCCCTTCTAAGGCCACGCCCACCTCCAAGGCAGACTTAGGTGAGGTCAGGATGGACGTGAAGATCCTGGCACTGACCCTGGGTCATCTCTAGTGTAGACCCTCAGTGCTGCTGGCCCCTGTGCCTACCACCGCTGCTGGAATGAGCATCTGTCTATATTTTTTCTTTCTACGTGGGAGATATAAATAGTAAAAACAACAGACGCCTTATTGAGGAAACCTGTAAAGTACTGAAAATCACAAACAAAATCCAACCACCATGGATCATACTGTTAGGACACGGCTCTGCGTCCTGCAAGCAGTTTACAGGGGCCGGTTTTTAAAGCATGATTGGAACCACAACATAAATAGCCCTCCCTCCTGTTATTCTTGCTCTGCGTTGTTTCAGCACAGTTCTGCCATGTGACAAAAGATTCTTTGCAAACATTTTTTTCTGGGGACGAGTAACATGCCACCGTGGAATGGACCCTCATTTACTCTGGCTTTTGAAATTCAGATATTTGGGCTTTTGCACTTTTGTAAATAGCGAGCCACGTGCGTTGTGGGTTGTGAGGTGGGCGCGCCTGCCGGGCATCTTATTGCCTTGGGTCTGTGTTGCCAGTTTGTTTCCCAGAGGGGAGGGCTGTGCGGGTGACCACTCTGGGAGATGCCTTCCTTGCTACCTGTATCAATATGCGTGTTATTGTTTTATTATTTGATTTTAAAGCCGCGTTGGTGCTTTACCTGCCCACATGGAAGCCATAGTGATGGTGGGAAAGCACAGGCCCCCCGAGCTGCACCTCCCGTTTATTGGCTGTGTGTCCTTGGACAAGTTACTTAGCCTCTCGGAGCCTCACTCTCTGTACCTTGAATCATTTAATTAGATTAAGCAGTGTTTGCCAACCTTTCATTGTCCCCTACCTCCTCTGTCCCCACGGGACCCTCTGTAAAGACTTTGGATCTTTAACATTCATTGAATGTGGTCCTGGACACCCTTGCCCTGTGGGTTCTTTCTGCGAGGTTTTGTGAGACACTGAAAACAGCCCCAAGAACCCACCCTTCCCATCAGCGGCCTGTGAGGGTCAGGGACCCCTGCGGTAAAGGAGCTGGGGTGCAGCTCAGTGAGAGAATGCTAGCCTCGCAGGCACCAGGCCCCGGGTGACATCCCTGCGCTGGGAAAAAAAATAGTGACGGGCGGAGGAGCCGATGTGTTCCAGGCACCTCTAATCTGCTGCCAAATCTGACATTCACCATAAATACGCAGGCAGAGCAGGGCTGTTGACAGTCCCTGGGAACAGATTCCTAGAGGCCCAGGGATGTGCTTGACGTCCCAGGAACGGCACCTGCAGGACAGGACCCTTCCCCAGAAGGGCAGCTGCCTCACCCGCCTCGCCGGTGCCCGTGAACTTGTGACTCGTAACCGCTCGCGCCTGCGCCCAGCCCTGCCCAGCCCTCCCCGGGCGGCCGCGGTTCTCACCTGTTCCCCTCGCCCCCAGGTACGTGGTCATCTCCCGGGAGGAGAGGGAGCGGAACCTGCTGGCCTTCCAGCACGGCGAGCGCATCTACTTCCGCGCCTGCAGGGACATCCGGCCCGGGGAGCGGCTGCGGGTCTGGTACAGCCAGGACTACATGAGGCGCCTGCACAGCATGTCCCAGGAGACCATCCACCGCAACCTGGCCAGAGGTGAGTGTGCGGAGGCCATGCCCTGGCCTCTGCGGCCCCCGGGCCTTCCAGAGGACACCAAGGAGGCGCAGATTCAAGCCCCAGCCGCGGGAAGACGGGGCCATTCGGGACCTCAGATGACCCAGGTCCGCGCCGTGCTCCAGGCCAGGCAGTGACCGCCCAGGGTGTCCCCTCCCCTGCAAGGTGGTCTCAGAAACCCCAACCGCACAGTTCAGAGCACTGGGAAGAGAGGACCCCACGGCCAAGGGAGGAGGCTTAATCCACTGACCCGTTCCCCAGCTCAAAGTGATGGAAAGATGTCACACTGCCGACACCTCAGCAATCACAAGGACAGACGACATCTGCTAAATGCTCACCGAGGGCTAATTGGGTTTCCACATGCTCCCATGGAACCCTCACGACTGGGGCAGCTTCCCCTCCAGCATGGGGTGGGAGTTCTGGGGAGCCAGTGAGGACCGTGGGTAGAGCAGGGTGAAGTCCCCAGTGCAGACCTTTAACAGTGACAACCCCACGTAGATGATTATCCCATCACCAACGGCACCAGTACATGCGGTGACTCACCCCTGGGTCAGGTGCTGGGGAGGGCAGCCTGGGTTTCTGTCCCACAACTGTGACTCCAGGTGCTGAGTTCCAACCTGGTG